TACCTTATAACTTTTGAACCACTGCACGGAATCGCACGAAATTTGGCACACTTATTGGTTTTTACCCCAGGAAGGTTATAGGTATGGTTTTGTTAGCAATTATGGTGTCAATTTCGCGAGGGGGCGTGGCACCTCCCATAGGTCTGCAAATTTTTAATCAGCTATAACTTCGGAACCATAAGTCACATGAACTTGAAATTTGGTATGCAGGCAAATCCATGGTAGATGCTTATAGTAAGGTATATATAAATGACTTTGTAGGAGGGGGAGAAGCATAGCTCATAGTCGTAGAATTTTTGATCAGCCATAACTTCGGAACCATAAGCCACATAAAATTGAAATTCGGTATGAAAACATATCAAGGGTAGGTGCTTATAGTAAGGTTTATAATATAGGCGTGGAATTTTTTATCAGCCACAACTTCCGAACCAAAAGTTACATGGCTGCTTTAATTCCTTTTGATATGCCTTTCGAATTTAAAAGACCTTAGTTTCCAGTTCGCTTAGCTTTTGCAATGACAATAAACAAGAATGCCTTAAAGTAAATCCCGAAACTTTATCGAAAATTAAATGTATGATAACACTGTGGAAAAAATTCAGGTTAGCAAAAGTTAGGTCGATTCTGAGAGTGAGGGGGTGAAAATATAGGCTAAATTAGAAGACCCGTATCGCGGCGTTTGTTTATGTTAGTTCGAATTTTTTTTTTAATCGACCTTCGAACTATGTAGCCAAATGCAATAAAATTCTTCCCCTTCTTCCTCTTTTTGCTCCTCTTCCTCTTTTTTGTTTCCAACCACCGCACAGGTAGCGATTTTTATTTATTTCGTACAAGCGAACTAATATCAAAAATAAAGATTCAGTTAAGACTCGAAACTCAGCCGAAGCTGATGTCTTTTATTTTTCGCTCGGTCGTGATAAAATTCGCTATTAATTTTTTGGAACTTATTTCATTTTGTGAGTGATTTAAGTTAAGTGCATCGGTTTCATAAAAATAACAAAACCAACATTGTATAATATATATTGTACTAAAAATGTCGGAACCAAAATGTAAAATGGACCATTTTTGTAATGTCTGTGGACGTTTCATAGCAAGCGATGAAAAATGTGGCAATGCGAGTGATTGTTTTTTGGAAGCCTATAAACAATATTTCTCGCAAGAGTTTATCACTGACGTAAACTATGCCCCTAAAAAAGTTTGCTTTAATTGCTATTCAAGTGTTATGCAATGGAAAAGTGAAAAGAAGAAGGCTATGCCTTTTGGTATACCAATGATGTTGTTAGACAACAGCCCGCATTAAAAAGAAAATTGCTATGGATGTATCAACTACCATAAAACTTTGAATAGAAGGAAAGCAAAGAATAAAACTTATGTAGCAGTGCTAAGTGTCCAATTACCATTACCGCACTCAGAATTCGTTCCAGTACTAACATACCGAAGTATTGATCTTCAAACAGATATCAGTACACAACCGCCGCTGCTATATCCATGCATTTCTTCTCAGAATACGACCCTGGTGAAGGTACATCCTATGAAACATCAAAGGACCCAATCCTAGTCACACAAAAGCAATTGGTTGCAATTGTTGCAATTTTGTGTTTGACTCATAAAAAATCAGAACAACTGGCTTCATTTTTGAAAGGAAATAATTTGCTGGCGAAAGGTACCAAAGTAACAGCATATCGAAAACGCCAAAAAGAGTTAGAAAAGTTCTTCAATGCGAATGATGCAAAAAATTTCGCTTATTGCAACGATATCGAAAAGTTAATGGAGACGATACGGTTAACCTATAAAAAAGATGATTGGCGTTTATTCATCGATAGTTCACTAATCAGCTTAAAAATTGTGCTTTTGCACAAGACGAATAGAATGCCTTCAGTTCCAATTGCGTATAGCACTGACACTAGTGAAAATTTCGATAATTTGAAACACATTCTGGAAGTAGTCAAATATAACGAACCCTCGGCAGGCAATGGCAAACCTCCGAGTGTATTTCTGCCATGAAAAACAGCTTCTCATAAAAATACAATCGCCGTTCGGAGTCGGCGTAAAACTGTAGGTCCCTCCGCTTTGTGTGACAACATCAAGGCGCACGCCACAAATCGGAGGAGAAGCTCGGCCAAACACTAACATATGTGTAAGCGCCAATCTATTATTATTATTAGTGGCGCATTTGCTGCGACCTCAAAATAGTTTCATTGATTACAGGCAGCCATTAAAGGACTTTTGGGTAAAGAACGCAAAGACAACTACAGGCAATCTGTAGCAAACATGTTGGCAGCTTTCGATGAAATTGGGGCTAATATGTCGTACAAAATTCATCTCTTGCATCAGCATCTTGATCAACTCGCTCAACACTTGCCAACTGAAGCTGATGAGCAAGGCGAACGTTATCCTCAAACTGCGCTTCCATTTGAAATAAGGTAACTATAGAGTGTGCATATTTTGAATTCCTAGGTTTTTCTAATAACTTTGTCAGAGTGCACAATTTAAACATGTTAACGATTGAAAACTATTTTCATTTCAGGTACAGAGGAAAGAAATCTCCAGATGCAATACTCGCTGAAATTTGTTGGTGATACCTTTGAAGAAGAGGAAGACGAGGAAAAAGAGGAAGAAGGGGAAGACAAAAATGAAATTCCAGAATATCTGTTGGACGAAATTATCGACCTTTCTGATGATGATGACGATGACCAAGATATTAGAGAGAGCAGTGATGTTGATCCACAGCCACCTGCTAAACGGCAACTGGCCAAATCATTAATTGAATTTATTTAATTTTTGTACTTAAAACTTTTCATAACTAACATTTCAAAATTATATTTTTTTCCATAGTTTTATAATTTCTTTTCCAACGTTTCTTCAAAACCAAAACTGAAAAAATTAGTACATAAGAAATGAGAAGTAAATTAATATTAAGCTGGGAAACGCAAGTTTTGTATTATGATTGTTTTCTTTTGAAATGAAATTTTTTGAAGAAACTGAGAAGCATATTATAGATCAAACAGAAAGCAAAAAAGACTTATTTTTGTGGAAAATATGTTCAAAAAGCATGAAAAAAAATTTCCAACATTTTGCTTTATAAGCGCTACAAAAATTTTCTAAATCAATTTTTTTTTTTAATTTTAATTGTTTCACAGGTCTAACAATAATTTGGCTTTAACAGATTGAAAAAATATCAATTGGTCGACGAGTTATAGCCAAAAAACCATATAAACAATATGCTGAAAATCGGTATTTGACTGCAAAGTTCGAAGGTCGATTAAAATAAAAATCGAAATAACATAAACAAACGCCGCGACACGGGTCTTCTAATTTAGGCTCTTTTTTCACCCCTCCCTCTCAGAATCGACCTAACTTTTGCTAACCTGAATTTATTACACAGTGTAATTGTATTGGAAAATGCATTTAAGTTAATAGATATTTTGAAGTATTAAGAAAATGCTGTGAAATCGTATTAGAGTTATTATTCGTAAGAAATTATATAATTTATTGGAGATATTTTATCCTACCATATGCTGCTATCACGGCTATAGTAAAATTAGAGCAGAAAGAGAGTATAATATCTTTACATAAAGTATTTTTCATGTTTGGAAAAAGACGTGGGGTGAAACCCGCGGGTAAAAGCTAGTATTTCATATAACTTGGGTATAGAATAGCTAAACTACACTTCTCAAATAGGTAGCAAACCTATTCAAAATATTTCCAAACTACTACCTTCTAAACCTCTTTTGTATGACACCCATATAGCGATACCTTATTTACTTACCAAATTCCTTTAATTAAAATTTAATTACATTTTTTTTAACAAGTGGCAACCCTCCTATACGTAGTTAACTTATAAAGTCTTTTCAAACCCATTTTGATTGACGCCCATACTTAATAATTCATTTAACTTTTTAATTAATTTAAGCTTAATTTCTTAACAGATGACAACTTTTTTCGAAAAAGTAAAACCTTCTTGAACATCCACATCCGAAGCCCTTTAATTTGGTACCTCACTTTTGAAAATCGAGCGGACGGTGCAGATCTTTTATGCTGCACAAAAAATGTCTTCGCGTATTATATATATAGATTATAGAGATAGATACCTATTTTAGTTACCCCATTGCCTTAATTCAAATTGAATTTGATTGTTTAAACAGGTGGCAACCCTCCTACACGCAGATAAGAAATAAAGTAAATGGTAAATATTGCTTTAACTATTTAAATAATTTGAACTTAATCTTTAAACAAGTTGCAGCCCTCTTCAAACACTTTACAAATATTCTAAATGTTCAAACTAAAGATCTCTTAAGATTCATTCGCTTGACGTCCATATTTTTATACTTCATATAAATTAGACTTTTCAAACAGGTGGCAACCCTCTTCAAAATGTTTACAAACTGCTACGTACTTAAACTTTATCGTGTGGCATCCATAAATATTTCTATTACTTAATTCCCTTAATTAAAATTGAATTTGATTTTTTTAGTAGGTGGCAACCCGCATAAATTTAACTTAAGAAACAAAGATTTTCCAAACTCTTTCCATTTATGCCCATTTTGTAATAATTGGTTTAGCTTTTTAAATAATTTGAACTTAATTTTTTAAAAGGTGGCAACTCTTTTCGAACAAGTTAAAGCTTATTGCACACCTATAGCTAGGGCCCTTTGATTTGGTACCTCACTTTTGAAAATCGAACGAACCGTGTGGATATGAAGGCATTGATTATTAAATTATTTGAATGCAATTTTTTATCAGGTGGCAACTCTTTTCGAAAAAGTAAAACCTTATTGCACATCTACACCCCAAGCGCTTTAATTCGACATCTCATTCTTGAAAATCGGGCGAACGGTAAAGATCTTTTATGCTGCACAAAAAAGGCCTTCGCGTATAATATATATATAAGTTACAGACGTTAGGTCCGTATAAGTCAAAAAAATAATTTAGTTGGGCCAACGCGCCCAACAGTTCTAACTACGAGTTACAACACAAATTTTGGAATCTAACACAATTTATTCTATTTACACAATTACAATTAGAATTCTTAATCTAAACCGTAGCGTTACCGTCCCGAACTCGACTGCCCGCTTTGTGTCCGCTGCTTCCCTTTATAGCCAATGTCCAGCAGCAGCGTACCTGTTGCATAATTGTTGTCTGTGAATAAGTTCGTCCGTTAGTTCCCACACTTGCATTATGGGTTGATGCTATTTCACAAGTATGCGAAATAGTATTATGCTGACGATGCGTCTGGAGTAATGCAGTAGCATACGTATTAATCGCTGGTACTAGTCATGGCCTTGACTTTGGGTGTTAGGTTGCCGTGCGCCGTGAGAATGTAATTGTGCTGACTTAGCGGCACGTGTAGTGGGCAACAGTGGGAGCGCCGCAGCGAGTTAACTCTGGGGAGTGTTAACTCTTCCCCCTCTAAAGATCTGCGTCCCGCAGATCCGAGCGTGGACAGGTGTCTTCCTTTCTTCGTGCCTGAGGATCCGTCTGTAGTATGGACAATCTTACTTCAGGAAGTGCTGTCCCTTTTGTTAGCTTCCTCCAAACTATCCAAATGAGAATTAATAGCAAAAACAAGCCCAGAGTTTCCGAAGCTGTAAACCAATTGGTCCTGTCCTTTAGGTATCTCAGAAGTTTAACATTTCCAATAGTCATCTCGTGGACAAGATTCAGATTGACGGCGAGGCTTTTATTCTTTATAGTAGATAGCACAGGTGGGAGTATTTGAACGCCTGAGCTGCTCATGCTCCAGTAAGTTTTATCATCAATTCGAATAGTTTCGTTTTCCAGTTGAAGAATGTAGGAGCCGTTCAAATAGTTGGGGGTTTCACCTGACCATACTGTGTCATTGACGTTGTCCAATAAGATCGTGTCCTCTTTGATGACCTCAATCGTTGAGTCGTTGCAGCTTACGTAGCGGCAACTGGTCTCGCCACCTTTGAGCAGTCGCGGCAGGCAATCTTCTTCGCGTAGTAGGTCCAATGCATCCTGCTTGCATACCATTGCGCTTGTCAGATAAATGCACTTATCCTTGACGCCATATGTTTGCTTCTTGTTGATTAGAACTTGGCTGTACCTTAAATCCAGCCGATGACCATTTTTTGTAATAGCTCGAGTGATAAGATTGTTGAATCTCGTTTGATCCACTTTTGGCATGGACAAAACGTAAAGTAGCAAGGTACCATTCGTGTAGATTGATGGTTCGCCGTATTCGACGGCTTCGATGACGTTAGCGTATGGAAGGACTTCGATTTCGCTGATCAATTCGTTGATTTCCTCTTTGTTTAGCAGGTTGCTGTTAATCACTCCAGCCTTGGCCATTTGACAGGCTTGAACAAGGCAGGATTTCTTCTGATAGTTTCATAACGTGGTTATGCCCCAGGATGCCGTTTGTGACGGTTACCATGCCGTTGACCACCTGCAATAGCTCATGAGTTTTCTTAAATATTTCATTATTTACCCTGTACTGTTGGTTGTTGTTTAGTACTAGCGAATCCTGGGATCGAAGTACCTCATCCCAATCGGACGCGTCGGGAGAACCGGCAATCCATTTCCAAGCCGATCCTATCCAATTGATTGCACGCTTATTTCTTTTGTATTTTGGAACTTTTAGCTCATTAAGTTGGATTTGAACCTTCTCTAAGTGATAGCCAAGGACATCCGTGATATCATTGGTTTCATTGAGCCTGGTGACTTCGGCTTCCAGACGACTTGCGATTTCTTCATAGCGGGCTAGGTTGATCACATGAATTATCTTGAAGTATCCGTTGACTATCCAGCCATACCCGTCTCGTACAGTTACCACAGGCGAGTGCAGATCGAATAGGACGTATGCTTGTGCGGGCGCACAGAGGCAGAATCTAGGAGTCAAAGTACAAATATCCTTATAACTAATATACATAGTTAGTGAAAAATTTACATTTCAAAATTAATATTCCATGAACTAAAGCTATTTATCGGATTTTATTTCAAGAACAATACTTAATTAGGAAATTTACATGTCATCTAAATGGTATCCTACGGTTTTTCGAATCTTATCCTGAAGCTGAAGATTTAAATATGTAAAATTTATGTAACATTTCAGATATTATGACTTGTATCTAATTTAATTGTAATCTCTTTCCTAAATGCTAGTACTATAACTAGTGAGTGGAGTTCGGGTCGCTTCGGGTTTGACGGGGATGTATGAGGACTCGGAGTGGTGTTAAGTGGAATTTACTGACAATTAATTTTTTCAGTTATTATTAGTTTATTAGTTAGCATTAGTAAGTTAATAGGGTTTTGTTAGTATAGTTTAACTTGTTAGTATTAGGTTTTTTTTTTTGTTTTTTTTTTTTTTTTTTTGGATTAACCGTTTTTGTTGCTAGTTAGTGAGTTATTTTTAGTTTAGTTTGTTAGTATCTTTTCTCGAGATCTTTGAAGTGGGCATTTGGCTGATCTTGTTTGATTGAGCGATTGAGCCTGGGAAAGTAGATAGTTGTAGTAATCTTCCTCCAAATTACGTAGCATATTGATGCAAGGATCGTCAAAGCAACGGTGTCGATAATCAGCGAAAAGTGAAAAGTTTCGCCCAATTTTCGTAGGTGTCGGATGTTTGTTACGCTAAGCTCGTGGATGTAGTCCAAATTCAGCTTCAGGCCATTACTCGTCACGTTTGTTAATGCAGGTGGCAAAGCCTGTACCATCCTTGTCGACCTGCTGGTAAACGTTTGGTTTCCCACTACGATGGTTTCGTTGTTGAGCAAAACGACATATGTTCCATTCAGGACGTTTTCGTAGTTTTTTCCCTGGATTTTACCCCAAAAGTTCGTTAGGAATAGTGATGTCTCGTCCATCATTTCTATGATTATGCTGCTGGATGGTTCGAAGTGACATTTCGCATTTCCGCCTTTTAACAATCTCGCTATGCATCCGTCTTCGGGTAGTCTAGCCAACGATTTGGGTGCGCAAATTGAGTAATTGCCAATGGACGAGCAATCACTTTTAATACCGAACGTTTCGTCCTGATTTATCAACATTTTCTCATAGTCGAGTACCACGTGTTGTCCATTTATAATAGCAGCTCGTGTCATTAAGAGTCGATAGCTGTCCGGCTTCACCTTTAGCATGGAAAGAACATACAGAAGAAGTGTTCCGTTCGAGTATACGGATGCCGATCCGTGTTCTATAGCCTCGATTGAGTTTTGGTATGGTAAGGACTCTTCTTCGAGTATAAGTCTATGGATTTCCTCTCGATCAAGCAGGTTCGTGTTCACGATGCCCGTTTTTGCCATTTGGCACGCTTGCACCACCTCCGATACTTGTTCTTTAAGGATGAGAACCTTACTTAGGTCCAGAAGTTCAAGGTTTTCTTCTTTAACACTCTTGCTGATTGCATTAATGCGAACCATCATTTGATTTGCTTTCTCAATTGCTTCACGGGTTCCGTTAAAGAGCTGGTCATTGACGCGATATTGGTGGTTGTTGTTGGTCACCACCTCGTTTAAGCTTCGAAGGATATAGTCCCAATCCGCAGCATCCGGAGAGCCAGCAATCCATTTCCATGCCGAACCGATCCAGTCAATAGAACGTGTCTTTCTCAATTTGGTCATCTGAAGTTCTTCAAGACGTAGCTCAGTCTGGTTCAGGTGGAATTGTAAAACTGTCCTCACTGCTTCGTTTTCGATCTCATACCGTGTTGTCTCTCTTAGTTTTTCCAACGCTATGTTAAAGTAGTTAAGGTCAATCACGTGGACGAGACTAAAGTGTCCATTCAAGATCCAGCCATGCCCATGATCAATAGTCACCAGAGGGGAGTCGTAGCTGTATATGTTGAGGCCGCAAACGCCGGATATGAAGAGTAAACTGTCTTTCGATAATTTTATGAGAAAGAGAAAAAAATAAAAATTTGAATTGTTGTGGCCTTTTTAGATATCCACACCGCAAGTTTTATGAATTTTACATTTCTTGTTACCATACTTCGGGGACGGTGAGAAAAAAAACTGTGCTTTGCCTGAGATTAGTCTAGGTTCTTTCCAAATAATTTCCTCTTAAATAGCCGTTAGTATGTGTTTTTCTTATCCGGTACCTGTTAGTGCTTTTGTTTAAACATTCTTTACTTAATTAATTGTTAGTGTTTCGCTTATCCGTTAAGTATTAGTATTCTGTTGTTTTTTTTGTTTACCTTTTTTATGTTTTTCCATTATACTATTATACTATACTATTATACTATCTAATTACTTAATTACTTTATTTCCCGTCCCCGCGATTATAAGATTATGAATTTATTATTGACAAGACCACAGAATCCAAAAGTTCTGCAATAATCTTTAACTGAAATCAATGTTTGCTAAATTTTTTGCAAATAAAGCAAAAACTTGTGGTCCGCTTTGATTTCTGTGGACTTATCAAGTCTTGCGGTAGAAGAGTTGGCTTTTTTGCTATAGTATATGCCTCTTTTATTTAGCATTTTGCTATTTTGTAGTGTACTATAGAAGCCTTTTTCACATAGTATTTTTTTATTTTTGTTTTTTTTTTTTTGTTTGTGGGCTGTAGACGCCTAACTAGCATTTATTGCTGTTTTTTGGTGGGCTACAGATGCCTCTTTTATATAGCATTTTCTGCTGTTTATTAGTGGGCTGTAGATGCCTCTTTTACAAATGTTTCTGTTTACTTGTGGCGTTTTTAACTTTTCCCTCGGTGTGCACCTGATCGTGTTTAAATTTTTTATTTCAAATTTTTTTTTATTTTATTTTATTTATTTTTATTATTATTGTTATTATTGAGCCCTAGTTTTTATATGTACCTTGTAAATTTTCCTACCAGTGTCCGTCTCTAGGGTTACTCGGTTGTCCTTGCGAACCCTTTCCTTTTTATAGAGTGGTTTTTGTTTACTCTTAATCTGTTTGTCCCTTACATAGACATCGTCTCCTACCATAAACTTTTTTATGCCTTTCCTTCTCCTATTTAGTCGAAGGTTTCGCGATTCTTGATTTTTTCTAATTCGATCTTTAATTTCCCTGCGGACATTACTTCTAAAATCTGTCAGTCCTTGGTAGTTTATTCTTTCGGTTCTATTAAAGAATACATCACTAGGCTTCCTTTTGGTCACAGAGTGAATCGTTGTATTATAGCGGTCGACTGCAATGTAGGCTAGTTCTTTGGGACTCGTATTGCTTATTTCCTTTCGCAGACATCGATAGATTTCGATCAAAGTTGAATGAAATCTTTCGATCTGCCCATTCACTTCACTTCTTTGCACTGGAGTTTGGTACAATTCAATCCCTAAACCTCTTATATAATTGCTTACTAGAGGGCTCATAAATCCTCTCTCATTGTCTGTTACTATTACCCGGGGGGTTGTGAAGTAGTGGATAAGCTTGGCAAATTTTGCGCGAAGAGTGAGGGATGAGCGGTTCCTTATGTGGAAAAGTTTTGCAAACTTCGAAAATTTGTCAACACAGGATAGAAATTTTTCGTTTTGGATTTCGAAAATGTCAACGTGCAATATTTCGCATGGGTATTTAGGAATAGGCGTTTCCTTTATAGGGGGTACCGCGGGATGTCTTTCGTACTTGTTTGTGAGGCAAGTTTCGCAGATAGATGCGAATTTCCTTATCCGACTTGCCATTTTAGGGAAATAGTACTTTTCCAGGATTTGTTCTTTATTTTTCCTGGGGTTTCTGTGTGCCCTCTTATGTTCATCTTCCACTATTTTGCAAATTCTGTCTTCGTTGGCCACGTCCTCAACTACCCGTTGAGTTATCCTAATTTTATATAAAAGAAAATGTTCTAAATATACCTCCTGTAGGAGTTGCAGACGATTCTCTGGGATTTTAATGCCATTTATGAGTGACGGATTGAGTCGCTCCTTTAGTACTTGTATTACTGTCGGTTTATCGATGCTATCCATGGTTATGTAGTGTCGAGTAAAACCAGGATGTGGGTTTTCTACGCATGTCAAAGCCTTACCTTCCCTGAGCACTATTTGATTACGAAATACATTCAGGGGACATTCGACGTTTGGAATAAGGTCCGATGCGTCCTGCTCCGCGCTATGGACAGTTGCCATATCGCTTTCAATCTCTGAAGCTGAAGCGCTGTTCAATTGTGCATCTACCCTTGTCGGACTTCCACTTTCATCATCATCTACCTTACCCGTTGACTCTGCACTGGTTAAATTGTTTGCTTGGCACGGCAGTCTTGACAGAGCATCGGCCACGACATTTGATTTACCTGGAGTGTAAATCAATTCGTGGTTGTACTCTTCGATTCTGGCCTTCCATCTCTTCAGCTTTGCATTGTAATTTCTGCTTCCCAATGCAAAAGTGAGAGGTTGGTGGTCAGTATAAAT